CTGCGCCACGCTCAACAGTTTCGAGTGGCAGTTCCTCAACTGGTTCTGTACGGTCAACGCAATTAACGAGTAAGCCGAGAATAATGCACTTTCCCAAAGCTTTTCTTCGTTGGAAAATTCGCCTTCCATGAAATTATGGTGACTGCAGATGCCACTGCTGCGCCACGCTCAACAGTTTCGAGTGGCAGTTCCTCAACTGGTTCTGTACGGTCAACGCAATTAACGAGTAAGCCGAGAATAATGCTCTTTCCTAACACTTTTCTTGTTAATGGAAAATTCGCCTTCCATGAAATTATGGTGACTGCAGATGCCAGTGCTGCGCCACGTTCAACAGTTTCGAGTGGCAGTTCCACAACTGATCCTGTACGGTCAACGCAATTAACAAGTAAGCCAGGAATAATGCCTCTTTCTAACACTTTTCTTTGTTAATGGAAAATTCGCCTTCCATGAAATTTGGTGACTGCAGATGCCAGTGCTGCGCCACGTTCAACAGTTTCGAGTGGCAGTTCCACAACTGATCCTGTACCGTCAACGCAATTAACGAGTAAGCCGAGAATAATGCTTTTCCTAACACTTTTCTTTGTTAATGGAAAATTCGCCTTCCATGAAATTTGGTGACTGCAGATGCCAGTGCTGCGCCACGTTCAACAGTTTCGAGTGGCAGTTCCACAACTGATCCTGTACGGTCAACGCAATTAACAAGTAAGCCAGAATAATGCCTCTTTCTAACACTTTCTTTGTTAATGGAAAATTCGCCTTCCATGAAATTTGGTGACTGCAGATGCCAGTGCTGCGCCACGTTCAACAGTTTCGAGTGGCAGTTCCACAACTGATCCTGTACGGTCAACGCAATTAACGAGTAAGCCGAGAATAATGCATTTTCCTAAGACTTTTCTTTGTTAATGGAAAATTCGCCTTCCATGAAATTTGGTGACTGCAGATGCCACTGCTGCGCCACGTTCAACAGTTTCGAGTGGCAGTTCCACAACTGATCCTGTACCGTCAACGCAATTAACGAGTAAGCCGAGAATAATGCTTTTCCTAAGACTTTTCTTTGTTAATGGAAAATTCGCCTTCCATGAAATTTGGTGACTGCAGATGCCACTGCTGCGCCACGTTCAACAGTTTCGAGTGGCAGTTCCACAACTGATCCTGTACCGTCAACGCAATTAACGAGTAAGCCGAGAATAATGCATTTTCCTAAGACTTTTCTTTGTTAATGGAAAATTCGCCTTCCATGAAATTGGTGACTGCAGATGCCAGTGCTGCGCCACGTTCAACAGTTTCGAGTGGCAGTTCCACAACTGATCCTGTACCGTCAACACATTCCAAGCAAAACATGACGAGTAAGTAAAGACATTATTTTCCTTGCCTGCAGCTTAGTGTTGATAAAAAATTTCTACTATAAAAAACTTGAATGCTTCAACCCTTGATGACCGCGCGCTCTACGCCTGTCTTCCGTAGAGATCGAGCGCGCTTTTCACGACATGCGGCTTGGCCCGCGGACGGGCCATGCGGCCCCAGAAGACTCAATTTTTTCACATCACTTCGTATTCTTCAAGCTCTTGGTGTAGCAATGGCGGGGCATCAGTTTAGTCCAACTCAGCTTTTAGCTGAATGAAATGATGCCTTGGTAGCACTTGCCCGGAAAGCGAGAGGTGCGGGTTCTAGTCCCGCCTGGGGCGAAAGTTTTGTTCACAACCCAGCATTCTTGTGAAACATTCGCAAGGCGTGCGGCCAAAAACAGCAGTTAACAAACGGAGCGAGAGGTGCGGGTTCTAGTCCCACCTGGGGCGAAAGTGTTGTTCACAACCCAGCGCACAGGGTGGCCGAAAAGTATAGGACGCCATGTTTGTGTGTAAAAGCCAAGAGACTCGATCAGGAAACCGACTTCACACAAAGATAGAGTTAAGCTATTTGATCACTTGTGCAGAAGGTGCTTTGAATTTGACGACTCTGCTTTGAGAGAGGCCTTCTGACGTCCAAGCCGCAGGTAGCCAACGGCGATGTCGTCCCACCTCTTCTGAAGCGCTAACTTCAGAGCACCCACCGAGCTGGAGAAGTCTTATGAGGTCTTGCTCTACAACATCCTCACATAGAGGAGTCCATCGGGTTAAGGGCCTGAGAGGAAGAAGGTCACAATTCCTTGCTCCAGTGGCCCGGGAAGTGAGCGCCCAGGATGGCTTTGGTCGATTTGAACGCGTATTAGGGAGCCCAGCTTCATTGAAGAGCAAACGATCATTGAGCAAAATGCTCGTAAATCCAGAACAACATACCGTACCTCATTAAAGTCTTTTGCAAGACTTCGACTTAATTTAACGTTTATACTTTATACTTTTTTTGTGGAAGATGAACTCAATGGAGCTGCACTTTTGGATGTTACCCCGTCACAAACTACCACACCTCTGTTGGAAAAGCGAAAGTCTGTGAGTTAGAAAGCGAAAGTTGTAAACTAGACGTTATCTCGGAGACTTGCTCTCACTTTTTGGCAACAACTGCCTCTGACTTTGGTGGTCGCAAAGAAGTTTAGTTCGAAAATTTTCTCATTAACCCAATCCGTAAGAGAGATGCGGCGCACCTCGAGCTCGTGCAGAAACTTTTTGCATTTTATCAGTTGAATCTATTCGGGTTGCTCCAATAAAAACCAGCATAGAAAGAGTCGGTAACCTCTTCAAATAATGATTGCTTCCCAAGATTTTCTGGAAGGAGTGACGGCAGATCCTGAGATCAAAAGCGATGTGACTCACGCTGGCTTCATCGTTGTGAGCCATCCTCTTCTAGGTGATTGCCCCAATCCTCTGAGTGTGCACAGTTCTTGAACTTCCACTTTTCGCAATCCCAGAGACGTGTGCTTGAACCTTGAGAGCACCGAACATGTTTCAAAGAGTTGAAGAGGGAATACCGAGTCGCTTTCCGAAGTTGCAATTTCAGAGACCGTCATTGGGCAGCCTCTTGGTAATGGGTCGATGCAAAAAAATCTTCATGGCGAGAGTTCAGATGAACTTTGGACCAAACAACTTATGGTGCTTCTTACATAGTTTCAAAGCTTTCGAAGAGTTTCGAAACACTCTGAAAATACCCCGGCTCAGTGCCAGCAAGCGGTCAAAGCCGCGTCCTATACTTTTCGGCCACCCTGTACTTGTGATACATTCGCAAGGGGAACTGCGGCCAAAAACAGCAGTTAAGAAACAGAAGCAAGTCAAAATGTTTGGAGTACTCTGCATGTAGCTTTACTACAAGATCTCATACCTATTGGGTGCTTGGAAATTTCAAAAAAGGTCAAAGAAGAAGATGAGGAATTACGGGCCATGGCCCTCCGGCGAGCTATACGGTCGCCAAAGGTCAAGGCACAGGTTCTGACCCATATTCAACAATTACGAATGGCAGTTCCATAACTGATCCTGTACCGTCAACGCAATTAACGAGTAAGCCAAGAATAATGCCTCTTCCTAACACTTTTCTTTGTTAATGGGAAATTCGCCTTCCATGAAATTTGGTGACTGCAGATGCCAGTGCTGAGCCACGTTCAACAGTTACGATTGGCAGTTCCACAACTGATCCTGTACCGTCAACACATTCCAAGCTAAACATGATGAGTAAGTCAAGACATAATCTTCCTTGCCCGCAGCCTAGGTGATAAAAACTCACAGGTTTCGAGCCACATTCAACAATTACGAATGGCAGTTCCACAACTAATCCTCGTATCGTCAACACACCGACAAACAATAAAAGGTAATGATGATTTTTGCTGACAATTTCACCAGTGAT